CAAGTAATGGCGAAAAAATTGGGCTAATAAAACCTGGCGACTCGGTTGCTTTTCAGCGGTTACTTCTTGTGCAAAACTTTATAGAGTCGCACCAAACAATCAGTCCCATAACACAAACCAAAAACAGCTTGAAATCGAAAGTTTTGTAGGAAAAAAACCTAAGTGCTAATCACTTGGAAATTATAAGATACGAGCTGACTTTTTGCGAAAGTTCTCAATGGCCTGATTATGAACACTATGAACCCTTCTTAGTGAATGTAGTTTGTAAGTTTTGTTGAAAAAATTCCTCACACATATTAGTCGATTCATAGAAGCATACAATATCTTCGACATCTTCCATTTTCGAACACTGAACGAGGTTAAAGTCTCTTCGAGAAAGGAGAGTGTTTTCTTATTTGTTTCCCGGGAAATATTCCTCACCATACATAAATATTCTAAGCTTTCCTCGCGTAGTTTCACTATTTGTCGTACTTTAAAAACACAAATGTCGATGATAGAGGCATTTCCTAATACGCTCCTTAACTCCCATATGTCTTAGAATAGAAAGACTCTGCATGATCACGTTTTCAACAAATAGGTCTATTTTTCAAAGTAAATTTTTGGAGTATAATTTGAATCATCCAAAGCTTTCCGTGATTAAACGTTTTGGGCATTGTTCGTAGAATTTTTTTATTCCCATAGTTGCTCCGAACTTTTTCGTTTTAATTGCCTATTCACAAAGGTATTAGACCGCATATAGTAAGATTAGTGACCATATGCAGTTCATGTGTACCATTCAACCCATTTTATATTATTTTCCGTAGTGCTAGTTTAATTACATTCAGATCCTCGATGCACTCCCATTTGTCAGACGATATTTCTTTTACTGGATGAGGTATACGTTTGACAAGGAAAAACTCTTCATCAACACCTTCCAGCCTTTGAAACACAAACCGTTTTATGGTCAGTTTTACTTCCTATTTACTGTTGCTGTTGTTTGTCTATTGTCTCCGTAGGAAAACGTGTGCGATTCCACGTTGGTGCATACCTTATGTAATCAATCGGTTTTAACAATAAGGAGCCTTTCCCCCCACTTTTAAAAACCTTCAACTATTCAAGGTGTTCCTTGTGGTGGAATTGGTTGTGGTGCTATGGGACGCGATTTTCGTGGTGGCTTTTGCAAATTTAGTTTGCGACCAGGTCTCGTGGAGCACAAAGTTGATGTTATTCCGGTGAGTATCCATTATTGTCTTATGTTGTATTATGTGGCTTATGATACGCTTCCAGGTTTTTTTTCTTGGAGATTCTTTTTTTACCACTAATTTATAACTGAAGCTGAAAGCTTTGAAAAATAGCTGGTAAATCCCATGTTAAGAATACCCGTCCTCGGGCCTTCTTCCCTTCGCTCTATTGAGTAGGAAAATTCGAAAAAAAGCTCAGGTGGGAGAGTACTGAAGAATTTATCGGAAGCGATCTCCTGCTGGTTCTGTTTCGCGTATCAACATAAAATCCATGTCTCCGAACGGCCCTTATCTCCCTTCGATCGACAAAAATAGAATGGTCGCAAAGGGAAGTGCAAATTATCTGTGGGAAGTGCTGACCGATTTTGACACTGAATTATTTCGTTCACGTACTTTTCACCAAAAAGTGTCAAAATCGATCTCGTTCAATCAAGATTGAGGGTGTGAACAGAAAAATCGAAGTTCAACGAATTGCAATCAAAGGCATCTGCTCAAAACATGCTCCTTTCATTGTAATACTCCGCTCAAACGTTCCAATGGGACACTCACTGTCTCTTTCAAGATTTTCGGAAGAAGTGTCCAGCTTTTAGCTTAAACGGTTCCTATTCTCGGTTCCGAAAGTGTTTCCGGCAACACATCGCAAAAAGTCACAACATGTGATCTTGTAGTTCGGTTGAGATTCTATTCTATTCATACTATGGCCCATATAGATTTCTTGGCATCAAGATAGTTTTTGATATTGAAGTTTTTGTAAAACCTTTTGATTTAAGTTCACTTTAATAACTTATGCATCATTTATTCGAATTAGAAAACGGCCTCAGTTTGTTGAAATTCGGTGTGAAGACAACATTTTTCTCAGATTAAGACGAATGGAATGGTGGCGCTTCCCACACCTTTTTGGTCGCATAACTCTGCGTTAAAATCCGACTTATCTCGCCCTTTTAAGGGGATAGTTTCTTTCAATTTTGTCTCGAAGATTTTCTCTAGTGCTCACGTTTTTTGTAAAGGGCAAAATCGTTTCGTCCTAATCGCTCGTAATCCTGTCCTGAGATGCTTAGAATCTGTCCTCGTCAATCACAACAGTTTCCCATGATCGAACTCCTTCAAAGTCTTTTTATGCATACGTTCGGTAATGCCGAGAAGATTGAAGCTTTGTTCAAGAGATACATGGACAAAAAATGCCACTACTCGGAGAGCTTAAGTCCCTAGCCGCCGTGTCCTAAAAGCACTAAGAAGAAATAGTTGGTTTTCACTTATAATTCCAAGACTGGATGTACGTACTCATGATTTTAAATGATGTTCGATTCTACTCAATTGCTTTTCATTCTTCATTTCGAAAAGACAATTCAACTAACACCAACCACTTAATCCCTTGCATAGTTATTTGTATTTATTACTATAAATACAAATAATAATTTGTATTTATTACTATGGGCGGAGGTGGTGTAGTGACAAGTGGCTCACCATATCACACGCAGGTCAGGGATTCCAATCATGGATCGATGCCCGCCCAGGCCAACCAAGCCTACCATCCCTCCGGGGTCGGTGAATTGGTACCAGACTCGTGTGGAAGCATGGAAGTACTGATTTGAACATCGGCTGGCCACCGCAAGTCATTGTATAAGCCACATACGCACTCATTACGACACTACGATTCTGAATGGAAGTCGAGTGCGGTGGCGCATCTCTCAGACGGGAATGATTAGCGCTAAAAACTTTAAACTTTACTTTATTCATTACTATAAATAGGTACATGAAAGTGGTAGCGAATAGATGTAAATTCTGGTCCAACCTATCAACTTCTTATCGACCCCTAGCAGAAACGTGGTGTTTGAGTGGCAAGTACTATAAAATTTATCCTTGTCTTCGTAACATTGTATTCAGGCCAATCAATTCATTCTGTCGGTGCGTCGTGACAATCGTTGCATATATCAAAAAGTGCTGTCTGCAGCTGATATAGTTCTCTCGGGTCAACAATTGAGTGCATGGGACTTTTCGTTTCCGAAGAAGGACGTTCATTACAGGTCAGTTGTAGTCAACGCTGATTTCTAGTAATATTTATAAATTTTGATCCAAACATTAACACCTTAACACGCTTATCTCTTTGGAGTGTTCTTTTGAAAGTCATTCATTATGTTTATTAATTACAGTATTATTACTGAAACAGTATTAGAATAATATCCGTAAATAGTAAAATGACACAATAGCCGTAAGAATTATATGACAATGAAATGACACAACAACTAAGAATTGTATGACAATGTGGCATGATGTACCGGTCAGGAATCATTTACCCATAAAATACCCGGCCAATAAATACTGCTGAGAGCAGCGTCATGGAAGAGAACTTTCATTAGTTAACGAAATGTCTTGCAAAATAACTATAAATCGCCACCTGATTGGGCTAGACCAATTTGTTGATGTTTCCGTACAGCAGCGCTAATAAGTTTTGTCATTCGTTCGATGCTAGTGGATGCATCAGTTTCCATGGCTGGAGTTGGATCTTCAATGTTGTTCTCAGCCATCATTTCCACTAACTGATCAGTTAGTCGTTTTTGTAAGTCATCAAAACGATTAGTCTCCAGGAGCTTTTTCAAACGTTCCTGTTCCTTTTTATTGCTCTCCTCATTCTGTTGTTTCCATTTAGTTGGAACTTGAGGCTCCGGTAACTTAATGTTGAGCTCGCGAGCAGCTGCATAGGTATTTGCAAAGGCGATTGCCTTTTTCGTGAGATCCTCAGGGCAGCTGTCCCAGTATTCACCTTTCAGCACTTTCTTGTGTTCTTCGAACAGTTCAGCGGACGAGACGTAGGCGAAACGGCTTGAAAAAAGAAATGATTAGCTACCTTTTTGATAACCCCTTCCTTTGCAAGCAGCTCTCTACATTTTGAAAGCTAATCCTTGAACTTGTACTCAGGGGTCAATTACTTAAGATTACTAAAAACAAGCTAATGTTACCTCGGCCATGGACCTTCCTTTTCATGCTCCCGCCTTTCGGCCATTTCTCTTCTGTTGTAGTCTTTATCACTCTCCCATTTCCATGGGTTTTTACCATATGACAAAGTTACGGGCTGTTCTTCTTCGCCAAATAGAATGTCCTCTGAAAATCATCATCATGAGTAGGAATGCTGTCGATTGACGTTTTGTGTGATTTTATGAAATATCGGAACACATACGATTATTTCTCCATCCTTTTGAAGAACGTAGGCCTTCCTCGTAATAGCAGATGTCAAGATTTTCGGCAGCCTCCTTTTCCCGAGAAACGAAATGTTTGTTGAAGTCAGGAGCTATTCGCAGTTTTTCCCGTTCCTCTTCACGAGCTCTAGATGCGCGATAGGTAACCTGAATAGGGTAAGCTTCATAGAAGAGCATGCGTAGGTTGTGAAAAAGGCGTTTATTCACCAGTGAATATCTGTTCAAAATGCCTACCTCCATGACTATTTCTCTGGCCATAAAGTCCAGAATGTAAATGAGATCCGTTTGCAAATCAGGAAATCCGAGAAATTCATGAAAACGGTGGGCTCGAAATGCGGATCTTAATAGAAAAATTCAGTTTTCGTCTCCATTTCTATCTTAGGGTTCACTCACAGCCTTCCCGTTCGACTACAGTATGAGACACGTCGAGCGTATTCGAGGAGCTCCTTGTGTTCAGCAGACAAATGGCGGTTTCGTCGTTTAAGGAACATTTTGATCTTAGCTAGAGCAGGGTCACAATCCTTGATATTGCGCTCTTCGCAGAGGAATTCGAGTTTGTCTTGGAAACCAGCTTCGATGAGAGCGTAGTAGATGTGTGGTGCTCTAAATAACACTGTCTTAATTCATATACAATTGAATATACTATATTTACAATTCATACTTTTTTATTGATTGTAAGCTATCCTTATCTATTTATGTATAAATATAAATATATATATATATATTTATACATAAATATATATGTTTATCTATCCTTATCAGTTTTTTATCCTAGTTGTGGGAGATATACTAGTGAAGAAGCATAAAACTGGGGGTGATCAGACAAGTACTTCAACTATAGCTATTGTATCTTTCTATAAAATCATTAGGATGTGTATAGAATTACCCATACTGACGACTAGTTTCACAAGTCTGCTGGTATTTAAAAAATTGTAAGGAAAGGTATACTTTGAGGTGTTCTTCACAATGAAGTATGTCTTGACATTCCGATAATTAAAAGAATGGTAGGGCGTGAGCATTCCTTATTTCCTCTCGCGTTCTTTCTTCGCCATTATGAGGATTTGACTAGTTGAAAACAATTTCATCCAATGTTTCTCACCGTTTTCGCAAGCATAACACTTCCGTAGAACCAGTTTCGTTAATGTCCATTCTATTCTCAAAATAATTTTGACCACGTCGACGGCCCTGATCGACCATTACGCGGTATAGCATGTGGCGTTTTCGATTCTGTTCCTGAAAGAGCTCCATAAGGCCAATTCATCCATAGCGTAAGGGCTAAAGAAGATAAACTGGTAGCTTTCGTGGGACTAATGCCGAAATTTCGAACGCTTTTCGAGTGATATTGTTGATATTGCTGGGCTGGTTGAAGGATGAGGGAAATAAATGAGATAAGTTACATTTCAATATTTGAGAAAGTATATTTTTTTATTTCAATATTAGCCTTCCATTTTTGTATTAATAACAATGTTTTTATCGAGAAGTGAAGAAATCGCGGTAGAGAATTTTGATGTGATTTGATGATTAGACCTTGATAATGTTAAAAGCACATACCACTAGATATCGAATGAGTCTTCTTAATCGGATTGGATGGTTTTTATAAAGTTTGAATATGTTGACGTAGGTGAAGACGTTCCTGAAGTCAATTAAAGTTTCGAAAGGATACGAATTTTTTCGAATCTGTCAAATCTAATAGAAATAGGCAATGATTACCTTTGATGGTTTTGCATCATTATATGCCACACCCGACGTAACAGCATGTTCATTTGTTGTCGTACAATATCAAGAACGTAAAGTCTGCTTTCATCAAGTGCTTCAGGCCCATCTCCATAGGTGAACATCATATGGCCGGTAATGTTCACGAATTCTCCCATATTGAACTCTTCGTATTCGCCATGACCTATAAAAAGAAAAGTATCAGCTGGGATTTTCTATTGGAAGTGGTCCATTTTTCAAGAAAATACAGCAAGGAATACTACTTACCTATTCGGTTGTCCAAGAAACACAAACGAATTGGTTTGACCTTCCTCATAATGTTCCAGGGAATCATTTCTTCTCGTTCTTTCTTGTCCGGGAACCACAATGCTAGATAACGCGTAGTCAGCTGTATCCCATTTCTGATCACCTGCCCGTCCTGGAAATGCTACTGTCAAATTCGAATGAGAAATTATAGGTGGGAGAGCTCACCTTAGGATCTCCATCGTCAAAATCGCCCTCTTCGTCGTCTGTGCGTCGACCGGGCACGTCCTCATCGTTAATCTCTTTGCTGAACAAATTGGGATAGATTCGTTGGAAACGTTCACACATTCGCTTGCGAAGTTCTTCCACTTCCATTTGTCGGTCATAGTTGGCGACTTCCCGGATGCTTATGTCCTCCAGTCGCTCAGTTTCACGTTCGAGTTGCTCAGCAATACCGAGCGGTTCCGAAATATCATAAATATTACTACGGACTACTTCAGGAGATGGTGGAGGTACTGGAGGGACGGGTCCTATTTCCTTCGTTCTCGATGGACCCTTCTGCTCAAATGGAGGACCTTTTTGTCGGGGTTCTTCCACTGTCTTCGGCGGACTGATTCGAATAACAGATGCTGACTCCAGGTCGATGCTTGTTTCATATTCCGTTCCACTTGATGAAGCAGATGATCCAAATGATTTTTCTAGACTTATCGATGAGTCAGAAATGCTACTTTCCTCTTCTCGAACGGATGATGCCAAAGGTCGGAATTCTCCAAAGTTGCGAGGAGCCTGCTCAAACCCTCCAATATTAGGACGCGGTTCACAGAGGTTCATGGCCCAGGATCCTTGGCTGGATTGGTACGGTTGTTGCAAAGCCATGCTCACTGCTGTAGGAAAGGTATTCATAGTTGAAGTTTGCCGTGGAGGCAAAAATTGTGGAAGTAGGCGAAGTGGCGGTCCTTGACTTATCGGTAGTGGGGCATTATAGAACATTGGTGGATCTGGAGCAGGCCGCATGGGAACTTGAGCGGGTTGCCCTATAGTAATCTCTAATGGAACCTGCTGGAGAAGATATTGGGAGGATGTGGAAGGAAACACTGATTGTGGATATGGGAGGCCCACCAATTGACCCGGGCGGTACACGTTTTCGGTATAGGCTAAAGATACCGGATGTCCTGGATATTGCGAGATGCTTTGAACGGGGTTTGGAGCGCTGACAAATTGAGAAGCGTCGAAGTAATGGGAGACCTGGGGCTGGAGCTGAGGCTGTAATCCTTGTGGCGGGACGGGCGGCTGTGGCGGCTTGGAAGGTTCTTTGATAAGTGCTCGAGATGAGCGAGCCTCCATTGCAGTGGTCTCATCACCAGAATCTTGTTCAGCTCGTTGCAACATTGCAAAAAGTCGATCCACCATGGAGGCGCGACCATCGGATTCTTCAGGCTCTACTTGAACAACTTCTTCCCCATTGTTTGAGTCCTTCAGCCGAAGATTGTCAGGTGAATTGTACTCCTCTGAACCCGAGTAGAACGCCTTGATAGCCCCGCTGTCGTCGGGATTTTTTGGACTTTCATAGCGTAGCTTCTCAACACCCTTTCGCGATGCCTTCTCCGCTGGTTGTCCTACAATTGAGCACCCTTCGCGTAGAGTGACGTTGGAGCCGTCGCTATTCTCTGACGGTGATGGAACATACTGATCATCAGTCGACATCGGAGCAGAGTGGGCATATACCGAGTCAGGAGCACATTCTGGGGTAGAAAATCGAGCGTCATCTGGAGGCGATCGTGTGTTCCTCACAGATTTTGTTTCAGACTGCGTCTCACCTGCAGGGGATCCTGTATCCATTGAAGGTGAAGGTTCAGTATGAGCATCATCATGAGATAGAGGAATGTTCAATAAAGGTTCCGGATCTGATTGTGCGTGAGAAGAGGATAAAGGACTGCTTACTGACGACCTTGATACTAATTCTTCATCATCCTGAGATAAAGGAATGTTCAATAAAGGTTCCGGCTCTATTTGTGCCTGAGAAGAAGATGAAGGGCTGTATACTGACGATCTTGACTCTAATTCATCATCATCAGGTGATAGTGGAATGTTCAACAATGGTTCCGTCTCGAATGAACCCTCATCAGGAGGTAAAGGGATATTTAGCAGAGGCTCCGGCTCAAATTGTGCTTCAAAAGGCGATTGAGAAGTGATCACAGGCTCCGTTTCGAGGGAAGCTTCTTCAGGAGGTAATGGAATGCTTAGCAACGATTCCGGCTCAAACACAGTATCGTGAAATGGAGATTGTATGCTCAGAACAGGTTCTGTCTCTTGAACTTCGGAACTATACGAGAAATTAGATGGAACAGAAGCTGGTGCATTCGACAAAAGGTTTTCTGAAGCATCAAGATTGCTTGGGCCATGAAGAGGAGAATCTTCCAAGTATTTGGATGTAGGCTTATTATTGGAATCCATTACTCGTCTCGGATTGTAGGAGTAGTGAAATGATGTCGAAGAGTCATCTATTTCATAAGAAATTTGACCATATGTGGAGGGTTTAAAAAATGCCTGCTGAGGTGGAAGAACGTTGTATTGAGAACTCGGCTGAGGAACGTAGAATGATGAAGACGGCTGATTTGAGTCGAGTTTATCAGCTGAACTTGATCGAGAAGTTTTTGATGTTTGTGGCGAATGGTAAGACATGGTTGTCGTATAAGTAGCGCAGGCGCAAGAGTGACGACAGGGACGCAGAGTGCTGCACTTCTGTTTTCACAGTGGGTGGTCGCGAGGAGGGCGGTCGTTAGCGCGGTGATCCTTACTAATCCCACGCCAAGCAGCTTTTTGATGCTTGGGGGCGATTATTTGATTGGAGATTAGGGAAATAAGGAAAACTGATACACTTTGATTTTTTATTCTTTCCTTTTTATCCATTTGCCTTTGAACATGTACTGGTCGCGGTCTCGAAGTCTTGCGATGTTAGTGTTTTGTGTGTTCCGTGTGAAGTAGTCCTACTATAACGGTAAGGCTAAGCGTTCTATCTCTACCTTCCGTTGTTAGTCCAAATTCTTAAGGTTTGCAATCAGACCAACTCCCAGAAGTGAGCTGAAGTTTTTTCCTCTTCTTTCTTTTACTGTTGCACTTTCAGAGGTCTCTATCCACGGTCCTGGACCTGTTACGATGTGAAGGCCCTTGGGATCAAAGTCATTATTCGACAAGTTTCACCGGTCCTGCCAAACAACTACGAGGTAGGGAGTGATCGATTGTAATTACATTCGGGATTCTTACAGTATATGAGATTCTTACGGTATATCTAGCTTCCCAAAAGACAGTGTCATGCAAGGATTACTTCAGGATTCGAGTCTTCCTGTGACCTGCTTTGTTGTGACGGTTCAAAATGATAGCGCAGACGATCTTGAAGTATCAATTGCTTTCACGTTTCGTAATGGCACCGGCAATCGTCGATGGGAGAATGAGTCGGAGTGCACATTTGCGAGATTCACAGATGGAAATGGTAAACCTAATCGGCATCGAAAACTCTTTGTGAAGTGTTATCGCTGGTTTTTCAGTTACTGGGGTGACGTTAGCTCACACGATTTCACAACTGCCTTGTACATATGGTTTGGCAACGTCGTCTGATGTAAGTTCCCAAGTCAACCATTCTACACCCATTTATTGTGAAGGAAGATGTCTTATACCTTAACGATCTGAAAGTTCAGGCATCTTCTTCAAGTCAAATCACGGTTTGCCATAGGTTTGATCCATCAAAATCGGGTAGCGCAGTGTGGGCATCACTGCTGGAATCTGGTGATCTTCCCGTGCAGGTAAATGGTCAATGATTTATTATAGTTGAGCTGCTTGTCAGAAAATCAGTCTTAATTGCTTTCTTTTCAATATTATCTTGATTAGAACTGCGTGACAATTGTTCAAGTGTAAAACAAAGGATTCCTATGTTTTGGGCCTTTTTGTCAGAGAACTGGTAAAGGAAAATTAGTTAATTGATGTTTAGTTTTGAGGCACTATTCAAAGCATAGTAATAAATGGAATATTTGTGGAGCGCTTAAGAAGTTACTTTCTAAATTGAACGGCTTGTAGACCGGTCAAAAGCTTCTTGAGGTCATTTGAAAAATTCCGAACATAAAAGTTTTTGGAGGAAGTGGAAAATGTGGTTGAAAATAGTCCTGCCAGTTTGGGGATAGCATAAATCGTCCCCTACCCGGCGTGATCAGCAAAGCATGATACATAATTATATCTCGTTAAAGGGATCTACTTTGAAAAATGTTCTCTTCAGGATAATGAGTATTCGTCGAACTGCGTCGAATTGGCCGTCGGTGTATGTAATCGCTTCCAAGTGGCAGCAAATAGCTCTCAAACGAGGGACTTTGCATTGTCTTGGGATATGCCAGATGTCACATTCGGCGGATCTGGACGCTGGTATAAGAGGTTCGCTATTCTTTTTTTTAGTTCCTTGTCCGAAACCATTTCCTAAAACTCATATCTTCTTTGAAAGTCTGTCTAGGTTGTTCACAAAATGTTAAATTAGGGGTGGCGCAGAAGAATACTGGGTTCTTAGTTCACCATCGTTATAGACGATATGCTCGATTTGTTCGAGGCGCTTCTTGCTTGTGTGCTCGTGCAATAAGACGACGAGAGGAATGGGAAAAAGCACTGGATGAGTGGCAAAATCCTATTCTTGAACATCCCCTACTACCCGAATGGTACAAATCAGCCATATTCAACGAACTGTACTTTATGACTGATGGAGGATCGGTAAGTCATGTTTCTGATGAAATCTTCACCTTTTGCTGATATTAAATCTGTTATCTTTTCAGTTGTGGTTTGAATTCGACGATAACTGGTCCAAAAGCGAAACTCACTTGAGCGACTACACGACGGGTCTTATGCGAAATTTTGGTCGATTTGGATATCTAGAATGTTGGTTTTGTAAAGATTTTCTCTCCCTTGGAAAGCGTGGTTCATGAATGCTATTTCAGCTTGGGAATATCGCATGGTGAATACTTACGACGTTCACTTCTATGCTTCCTTTGCTTTGGCTCAATTGTGGCCAAATATTGAGCTAACGGTTCAGGCGGAGTTCAGTGAGTATTGTTTTTTTTNTTTTTTTTACGTTTTGTGTGTACTACAAAGGTCACAAAGGTAAATTTTGGTCAGGCATATTGGTGGTAGTAACAAGGGGGCTACTTGAAAGAAACTTGAATGATGAGGCGTCGCAAGATCCTGGTGAGGTTTTGTAGAGTGCGGGGTTCCTCGGAGGCAGTGGGCGCGGTTAATGGGTTTCATCTGCAAGTGGCCTGATAGAGTCCTAGAAAGTGGACCATGTAACCAAGCGACGCACCTCATTGAAAAGAAGTTCACCATATAGGCATAAAAACAGTGAAGGTTTGGGTTGAAACGGGAAATATAATAAAAGCGAATATAAAGCTGTAAATTGACGTTAGGGTAGAATCAATGCATGTACGTCGCATGAAATGAGACAGAAAGGCCTTGTTCATTCAACGAAATCTTCTTGTTCTCGAACTTGCCCTCAGTCCAGGTACAACAGCGCCAGTTTACTAAGCTAAGGTCAAATTCTGGCAATTCTTTTGTTTTTTTTTTCGCTGATGAACAACTATCGATCCCAGCCTCGTTTTTTCCCCACGTCCTAGGGAGCCTATTATGTTTATCAAACAGATCTATGAGGTATTTAGAAAGCCTAGATTCTTCACTTTTTTATTTCAACATATTCGGCTTTTTTATCGTTCTTTTTTTTTTTTGATCTTTTCAGATTTTTATTTCCTGCTACTATAGCACCCGCAACTCCAAGCTTTGAAAAATAATTAAAATTTGTTTTTACTAGTTCTAGTCTTTACTCAGTATCGGAAAAGAATCGCAAGGGGCAGGGTCTCATGGAAGAGTATGAGATTCTGTTAGGTTATTCTGTATCGTAAGAAACCTCATAGAAAATTCTTCATTGATTGTGACGATCTTCATTTAGCTGACCATATTGAACATTCTGTGGAAACTAACATAACGTTTCACATGGAAGGCGATGTAGCAAGGCTGAAAACTAGCAGTCGAGTTCCACATGATTTAGGAAACCCAGGTCAGTATGTTTCGATGTTTCGCAATTTGAAATGGTTCATGTTTTCCGTGTAAACAATCTATCATGTCATTGGGGGCGTCACGTATGTATTTATTTCTGTTTAAAATGGTGGAGGCAGCTTGAAGACATTCACCGCCCAATTTTGAGTTCTCATCGGTGTATGAATCGTCTTGCCTAACAAAAGTCTTGGCCAAGCGAATTGCAGGGAATAGAATCATTATTCTGGGCAGGTTCCAACTTGTGATCGATTTCTACTGCATACGTGAATGCGCTTTGTATGCTTGTCGTTGATTTTCTCGAATTAGTATGTCGTAGGGACTGGTCCATATAATATCTTATCATTTAGAAATTCTTAATGACGTTGCTTTCCAGCTGACGAGCCATGGCTATGTACAAATGCCTATGTAATGCATGATACGGGTAAATGGAAGGATCTCAATCTAAAATATGTGCTCACATCATGGCGAGACCATGTTGCGTTACCTCGATTGCCAGGAGATATGTCATTCCTTGAGCATGCGTGGCCAGCAGTACAGGTCAGTCAGGTTATTCTTGCGCTAGTTCTCACTAATGACACTTCGTTGCCGCTACATTATCAGGGTCTCAGAAATTTTTGAAATAACTTTGGATTGGATGGAATGAGATTTTCGAATGAGATCCGTCCATCTTGCAGGAAAACTAACTTCAGAACACCAATCCCATGACCTGCACAAAGTCTTTTAGAGTTTGTAGTAATGAATGCAGCCTTAAGTTCAAATTTAAAACGTTCTTGAGGTCGCGATTGAAACGTTGCGTCACCCGTATACCCAAGCGATCGGGCGAATTAATATATTTCCCTTAAATTAATATCTTTTCCTTTAAGAATTGAAAATTCTCAAAAATCGTGAGATTATCCACAACCTTCTGTATTGGGTTCAAAGACATTTTTTTTTCAGAAGTTGATGTCGGAAGCGCTCCAAGAGTGGGATCAAGATTCTGACGGAATGATTGAGAACTTTGGAAAAGCCGACCAGACCTATGATGCGTGGCGAATGGAAGGCGTGAGGTTAGAGTCTACCACTTTGAAATCTTGTCGCTAAGGTACTCTTTTGAATACGCTGCTATCTTAATTTATAGCGCATACTGTGGTTCTCTTTGGCTGGCCTCGCTACGTGTTGCGGCAGAAATGGCTCGTACTCTCGGTTATGGAGAGAGCGAAAAGCTGTATATGACAACATTGGCCAAGGCAAAGAAGGTAAGTCGATTCATGGTTGTCTAAGTACTCTGTAATTAGGAATTTAACCCATTGGTTATGACTAATTATTACCCCTTCTACTTCCAAGGTGTTCATTGAAAAATTGTGGACTGGATCATACTTTCGATTCTGCGAGAGATCCCGAAGTCGTGAATCGATTATGGCTGATCAGTTATGTGGCGTGTGGTTTTTGCAATCAGTGTCACCTCACCTGGCAGCTGATGTTAGTCCAAATTTTAACATGTTCTTAAAGTTTTCAGCAATTTTTTTTCTCGGACTCGTTCTTAGTCCACCAATGGAGCTTACGCTTTGATATTTTATTTCGATTCTACATTGTAGATTGTAGTAAGCAACTCTTTGTAGGTGTTGCCAAACCATATGGTGCGTTCAGCTCTTAAAACAATATACGATTACAATGTTTGTCGATTTGCTGGTGGGAAAATGGGAGCTGTGAATGGAATGCGACCAGATGGCCGTGTTGACAGAGAGTACATTCAGGTGGGGAAGTGATTGTCAAACTATGTGTAGACTGATAGATTCCTGCAAATATCAATGCAAAAACCAAGTCTGGGATAATACAACTTCATGGTTGTTGCCTAGGGATTACCATTGAAGGTAACAGTAGGGCTGTTAAAGTAGTCAAGTAATCAGGGTTGACGTCTAATGTAGAGGGGAAACCTGTTTATTTACAGAAGCTTTTCATAATTTAAAGGGGAAGGTGGCGTTAGATAACGACTTGATTTTATGGGCTAGCTTGATTTCAACTTTATTTTGGGAGAATTCTCCACTTTCTTTGGAAACTACAGATTTGTCCTACGAGTACTCAGGCCATAAATTTGTACCTATTCAAACGAATGTTGAATGTGTCATAGGAGCTTTTTCATCTAATAGTTAACTTGCTTGCCATAAAACCNGTAGGGGGGAAACCTGTTTATTTACAGAAGCTTTTCATAATTTAAAGGGGAAGGTGGCGTTAGATAACGACTTGATTTTATGGGCTAGCTTGATTTCAACTTTATTTTGGAAGAATTTTCCACTTTCTTTGAAAACTACAGATTTGTCCTACGAGTACTCAGGCCATAAATTTGTACATATTCAGACGAATGTTGTATGCGTCATAGGAGCTTTTTCATCTAATAGTTAACTTGCTTGCCATAAAACCTTTGTTTCAGGCTGATGAAGTCTGGACAGGGGTAACGTATGCTGTGGCAGCGTTTCTACTGCAGTTAGGTGAAGTCGATCAAGCGTTCCATACTGCTTCTGGCTGTTATGATGCTTGTTTTGAACGAGCCGGCTTACAATATCAAACACCGGAGGCGTTGTATGAAACCAGGTACTGATATGTGTACTATCATTCATTTGTTGTCATTGGCTTCTTGAATTGCTGTTAAAGGAAGAACCCCTTATTGTCAAGCGCTGTCCATATAATTGTTCCCTGAACTTGCTACCATCAACGAGTTTTGCACACACTCCCAATTATTCATTTTTCTTGTTTTGAAATGCTTGACATATAAAGCTTATCAAATGATTGTTTCAGATTTTACCGTGCAATCGGCTATATGCGCCCTTTGAGCATCTGGGCAATGCAGTGGGCAATTCAGCGCCACTCTGATCTGAATCCACCGAAAATTCCTGTTATTCCTGTTGTGGTCTCTACACAGAAGCTTCTTTCAACACGCATTTGCGAGGATTCTGCCAGTGAAGGCTATAATACAAGCGATGAAAGAGATTCGGAAGCCACGAGCAGCAAGGACGTCGCTGTGACTGATAGTGCCATTGAAAGTCGAGATGCAATGTGCGTACAGTAGTAGGTTCAGTCATTCTCCAGTCCTCAGTGTGAACGATCATTGAATAGGCTAAAAAATGTGTCATGGTTCACTATTCAGTCAGTCATTCGCTGAAAAATAGTGCTGCCTTGGTTTTGACAAAGAGGTCGGCTGGATCTGGATGGGAGGTTAGCTTCTCTCTCCGTCCTCAGTGTACTACTGGTGGCCCTGAATTCTGTTGGAACTCATGGCACCAATATCCACTGGAAACGAAATGAAGAAGTCAAGTTAATCAAAAAATGTTGAGTATCTAATATTAGTTAATTCTAATCTAATATAGTCATCTTGTTATTTAAGGAAGAATGCTTTAGGTGTTCCTCTTTCATGTAAGTGCCGGCTCCGTTTTATTTTTGTCGCATGATCCTTTTCATTCCTTTCTTGAATGGCTGACTTAACACTATTGCCCAGTTTATGTCGTTACGGTGCTGGATCTAGTTGACATTCAGAAACCTCATAAGTCAATTTGAGGGCTAGGAACTTCTCTTCACACATTTGAGTTCAATATCCCACTAGGTTGAGTCCCTTGTAAATATTCTTTGTTGCTTTTTATGCCATAATGACGTGCACCCGCATATAATAACAGTGAGGATGCGATTTTCACACCTGCCATTTTACAACATACCCCTTACATGATGATACGGTATGTAACTGATTAGTAATGTTGAGAGATGAAATCAAGACTAGTATGAACCCCTCATGTTAAAATCTATATTCTTTAGCTAACGATTGCCGTGTTTTCTCTTCCCCTAGGGTTTGCAGAACTGACAATGAGATTATGTGGTCCATGGCTGCTGGGTAATGTTCTTCATAGCTCTTAAAATCATGGTCTCTCGCTAAAAAGGATAAGGGTTTAAAAGAACCGTTGCTGATTGCTAACTTTCTCAGGTGAGTTAGTTTGACTAGAAGTTTCAAGTACAATCGTTGTTTTCCGTTATAACCTGCCGTCTTTTGGGGGTACACCATCGTCCCAAATTTTTTAATAGTGGGACTTTGAATTAACGGTTATGCAAAGCATTTTTTGGATTTTAATAGGACCTGGTGATAATACGGTTGCGATCAGGCCATTCTCTGACGATGAGTTAGTTCATTTACGTTGCTCCTGTAGTTCATTGTTGTGTTCTAGAATTATTTTTCACTTGTAAATAATCTTTTTCAGTTGTAAGGGAATAGAAATGTTTTTGCATAAGCGGTATTTTTGTTTCTTTTTCGATATTCCAATCGTTAATCATTTTCTAAAGAAAATTTTTTGTTTACTAGTAGCCATAATTGCTTCAGCTACTTGTTTGAACGCTTAGTCATGATTTTATGGTTTTATTCATGAACTTGTAATAATATTGCTATATTCAATGTTACCTATGCATGTACTTATTCATTAGTGATTAACGATTAATCGATCATTGTGTTTATAGTAAACAAGGGTTATGGATTGAGTTCGGTGAATCTGGATGCTTTATGCTGCTGAAGATGCTCACAATAAGTTGTAACTAACTGTCTTCCTTTAAGGGAATTCCTCATTTTTTTGTGTTCTTTGAATGATGTTTTTGGTTTGAAGTCTTATTTACAATTCTGTGCATTTCTATGAATCGATTTCGTACTAGGTATAGTTTTATAAACCTTAAGCTTTGAATGTTGTTACGCAGTTTGCTATCGTTCAGGCGATTCTTTATCGATGATGAATTCTGGGCGGGCTTATGCTAGTGATAAACACGTGGTTTACTAAAGTTTTTGTTTATTCCGCTGAGGTGGTAAAAGGTTACACAGTGTCAAATCTCTTTATAATTGTTGCTCTCCGTTGCTGGCGCAAACTAGCAAAATATGTAAATTTGTAATTGGGACCTAATCATGCTACGGACATTTCCCTGTACCTGATCTGAATTTTCGATAATAACACTAAAAGGGGCCGAGTGGTGTAGTGGCAGGTGGCGCACTTCACATGGCCACGATTCGAATTTCATGTCGATAATCGCCTAGGCCATCCAAGCCTTCCATCGCTGGCCACCGTAAGTCATTGTATGGACCACCTACGCATTCAATACCCTACAACGATCCTGGATGGAAATCGAATGCGTGGGGGCATCGTTCGGACGGAATTGATTAACGCTCCAAGACCATCCTTCCTAATCTTTACACTAAAAGAGCTTTACTCGAGATCAGTGGGAGGCCAAGGGAGCTAAGTATTGGAGAGATTTTTCTTTCCAAAGACAGCAAAAAGGCAAGCATGCTGGTAATGATGGGTTGACCGGATTGCAAGTGAGTCGATAATCTTTGAAGGCATCTCAAAGTTCATTAGATAGTTTCTAAAGTAATAGACTTTTCAGAGCTGCAGGAAGTCGTTAAAGATGTCTAGCTAATGTCTCAAATAGCATATTGTGTAAGTTAATATTCGAGTCCTGTCCAATTTCCTGCTGACATCTTAGTTTTTGATTGTCACCTTTTGGTTTAATTTGCTTCTGGTGATTCTGCCATTCTGACGGTGTACGACTGTTTAATCGGGTCACCATGTCTGAAGCATATCAATCGCAGATATTTGAATGTCCTTCGGTGACTGTTGCAGGTCTCTTGTGATTTTGTAGGAGAACATGTGAAGTGATGAATAAAGATAATTAATGGATTCATGCGGTGCTATCGTTGCGGTGGAGTAAATTAGGTGGAAATTGACTTTATGGTTCAGCCTATTGTTTAGAGCTAGAGTGTTTATGGCTACAAGATCCCTGTTTAAAGGCTTCTTGCGAAAACTTTTGGGTATACTGGAAAAGTAGGAGTTTGCATATAAATAAGTAGTAGTTAAATGTTTTCAGAATGCTATCAGTACGAGGTCGGCTATTCTACTTTACATCGCGATTCTCATCCACTAAAACCGCGGCCGAAATACGTATGGCAAAAATGTTGCAGGAGAAGATCGATGGTGTGACTCAAGTTGAAGTAAATGATGTTTCAAGTAAGTTTCCACCATTTTTATATATGATCCTCGATAAAATAGATAAAATAAAATAACAAAATGGATGACTCCGCTATGCGGTAAACAGTGGTAGTTTTTATCTTGATTTGATGCTACCTCGGTCGCCTAACAGTAAGTCGTCCACCTTATTCGTCGCTCTCACTGTCTGCGGAGAAATACCAAATTGGGAACACTTCCATGAGATTTCCAATGGTGGAGTGAAAAAAAGAGTAGTCCGCGTTCTTCCTCTTGCAATGAGAAGGGCGAGTCGTTCGTTAACACGTTTATTGTTTTGCATCCTTACTGTTAATATGCCTAATACATCCTACTTTATATAATTCGCTAAGTGTGTCTGTTGGTGTGTCGGTGTGTGTGTATGTGTGTGTGTCGGTGTGTGTGTTTGACCGGAAATTCATAACTCCTGTTCCCGTGGACCTAGAAAGCTCAAATTGGGCAGGAGT